ACAAACGTAAACAAAGGTGTATGTTACTTTGTAGAGTCATTTACAACAGCTTCGAACGCGGCTCAGCCAATCAGAATCAAGCACCGGAACTCTCCGTTTTATAAAAACTGATTTACTGAAAACTTACTTTTTTAAACATTAGTACTTATTTATTACTAATGTTGATTCCAGTCATCAGTACATTAGTAACATTAAAAATCTTGCTAGTCACAAAAAATGTCAACTTGTTGGCAAGAACAAAAGTAGTTACTGGAACAATTAAGACAAAATTATTATTTATATCCTTTTACGAACAAATATAAAGGAACATATAAAATATATTTTTGCTGAGATTTGATGCAGTGACACAATCTTGCGTAGTGACGTCAGCGTGCAATGACATCACAACGTCATTTAGCAACAAATTGACCTTCCTTTAGCAACTTCCCATGAAAGTAAGCTGGCAACACTGATCATACCTCTTGAGTGGGAGTCTGGGGCTCTGCAGCAGGGCTGATGATGACAGAGATCTCCGGCAGAGGAGACACAAAGCGCTGGGATCTCATCAGAGCTCCGATATCAGCAGCTGTGGACTCAAACACAGCCCCACACTCCTCCTCATCGGACAGAATCCCGCACGGAGACGCCAGAGCCATGACCACACGCCTAGACACGAAAACACGCACGATATTTACTGTCAGGACGTTTCTGACTGAACTACTAAACACGAGTCACTCGGTTAGCCAGATAGCTGCGTTTCAGTTAAAAGACGCTGTTTTGTGCTGGTTGTTCAACAGTGATACATTATGATATAGCTAACAACAAAATACGAGAACAAATGAACAGCATTTCGACAGAATAGCAGAGTTTATTGTATTGACCTGAAGTTGTGTTAGCTGTTAGCAGCTAGCATCGCATATATAAATATTCGTGACGTTACCTTGATTTATGGCGTCCTCCAGAGGAAAATATGATCCAAACGTAGTTTTACAGTTATATAAGTGACTCCTACAGCTAAGCTAGAATCATAACATCTAACCTGGACACAGTTAGTACAGTAACTAACTTAAACTCATGCATAGCTCACTAACGGTTACTGAGACATATTCGAACGCCGCGGTCAGGGCGCTCCACCAATCACCGCGCACCTGAGCAACTCCAACTGGCCAATCAGACACGCCGGAGGAAATACTTTGCTTTTGATTGGTCAACGTGCGGCGCTTCCTCTCCCTTCGGCATGTTTTTGTTTGGTACATTTAATGTCCACATCTGATTCACGTTTTTAAGTTTTAAAACGTCTGAGTCTCTTAAATGTATTTCAAATTAAAATCTGTTTAATTTGATGTGGCTAAAAACACATCTCTTCCATCTTTATTTGACCCTCTAACTCTAGCACACTCTATTCTAATTCTATTCTTTAAAAAAAAACACTTGCTCCTTTTTAGACTCGCACTCTTAAAAAAAAAAAACTAACACTAGCTTTTCTATTCTTTTTGTATTTTATCTATTTGTTTTCTTTTTATTTATTATACAATTAACAAAAAGCAAAAAAGGCCTCTAACACTAGCTTGCTCTAGCTATTCTTTTTCAATTCTGTTTTCTTTTTATTTATTATATAATTAAAAAAAACCTTGGTAAGTGTACTGAGTTAAGCTAACTGGCACTTGTTATAACACTATCAACTAGTAAGGCCCTTCCTAGATGGCTACAGCAAGGTGGCATTGAAACAAAATGCTGATGAACAAAATGTAAATTCATGGAAATTACTAAATGGCTGTAACAATAATCAATAATCAATGTGATGATTGTTTCAATCTGTGAGTCTTAGGTGTCTTAGAATATGTCAGCAATGAAAAAATGATTCAGAAAAAGGTTAAAACTGTAAGACCAATCATGCAGAGACTGAACTACCAATCTTTGGTTGAAAAGACTGATAAGAATAAGGTATAAGTTACTGGTCAGAGAAAGACTCATCTCGGCTTTAATGCTGCATTCTAATAAAGTCTTGTTTTAACATCTGGAACTCATTAAACCATTAAAAATGTTTTCTGTAGTGTGTTTTGAGACACATTCCTTTAGGATTTATTGGTTTCAACAAGCCCCCAATAGAAGGTGACCGATTACCCCCAGCGTCCATCACAGTTTCCATTAAAACCAGTACGATTCTCATTATAACCAGTACAACCATTACAAATTCTGTGATGGTGTCTATTGTTTTTTCAGCAGGGACATTTCCATAAAAAGTATCAACGTAATGCAATTAGTTATTTTTAGGGAGCAATGCAATATTGTAATGCATTATCTTTAAAAGTAACTTTCCCCAACACTGCTAACCATAGTTTAAAAGTAAAAAAAACATGGTTACAACACTTTTACTTACATGTTTCAATGTATGATGATCTAAAGTTTATCTAAACAGAGAGTGAAATGAAGTTAGTTTCAGTGTTGTGTGTGAAAGTGATGACACATGGCCTAAACGATTGTTCACTTATTGCTAAAACGGAGTTGTTTGTGGCTGTGTTTGCATGTATTTGCAAAACTTGATGTCTGGCATTATCTGAGTCTCATGTTACACCAGTTTTGATGTTTGTGTTTTATTTCATAGGTTTGATCACTTTATTGTTACTCTACGACACAGAGAAAGAATCTGTGGGACAAATGTGCGGGACGTGTGCATGACTTCTGATTGGTGTCTTGAGGGCTCCATAAAAGGAGAGAGTATTAGGAGTCAAAGAGGCTCCTGAGAAGCAGAGAAACGCCGCAGAAGAGCTGGAGAACCATCATGCTGACAGACACAAGATGAAATGAAGACATGAGCGTCTTGCTGCGGATGTAGTCTGGAAATTTACCGTTGCAAAACAGAGACATGTGAGTTTTGTGGACCAGACCTCGAACCCCACAGTGTTTTATTGCTGGACTTATACAATAATATGCTTTAGATGCATCAGTAACTCTAATATAATGCAATGTCTGATTTAATTTCTCTTTACTAGATTGTATTTCTCGGGCTGGATCAGGCTGGTGAGTGAGAGATTCTGGCTAAACTTAGTCTGGACAATAGTCTCTGTCATGATGGTGTACAGTTACAACACAGTTGGTGTGAGAAGTAGCTATATATAGATTCCTGTAGTGACCACAGCAGTGAATGTACAAAACAAACTTTAAAACCATGGCTGATATTTACTGAAACACCAAATGATTCTTAAATCAAATCAAATATTGTTTTATATTGTGCACCTAAATGATTATCTTTTGTGTTTCTGGAGTTTGTTCGTGTGTCAGATCCATGAGCTCCTTCTTTTCTTCTTGCCATGCATTTACAGCGTTGTTTATTAAAACATCCGTCTGCTCCATCCTTCATTCATTGACCAAATACAAATGAGAGCACTCATGCATTTATTTACATTTCAACTTTAGTTTTTTGCTCTATTGTGCTCAGTACATTTTTTGCATTTATTTTATTTCTCCTAAAATCATATTTATAAATGAACATTAAAATGTCTAAATTAAATGTATTTGTACATTAAAATAGCTGACTAAACATCGTCAAAGTCAGCTTGTAATAAAATATTCTTTCTAGAATAGTTTATACAAATAATACTGCTAGACTAAAATTAAATCTAAAATATTAATTTATAATAGAACATAATTATTAAATAATATGAAATAAAGAATACTATATATATATATATATATATATACACTCAAAAAAATGCTGGGTTAAAAAGGGACAAACCCAGCTATTGGGTTGTTTTGACCCAGCGGTTGGGTTGTTTTGACCCAGCATTTTTTAGAGTGTAATGTTGCTCTTTCTATTAATATTTATAGACTCAAATATTTAATATAATTTTTGAGGACAGTCGTTCATGAATTATAGTTTGGCCCGTGGCACTTTATTTCCCCCCAGAACTGCGTGTGCATTATTTTCCATGTCTCATTGTCACAGATGTTGAAGATTTCAAGTCCGTCGTGTCGACTCTGAGCGAACACAGCAGACTGGAGAACATGCTCTCTCTGAATCACGTCAGAAAGCCAATCATCACGTTTTAAATGACTGCATGAACAAGCCGTGACACTTGAGTTATCTTGCACTAACCAGTGTCATCCAAACCTCCTCGAATAGACAGAACCTTTGTCACGGTTTGTGTTTGTCCTCGACTTATATTTAACTTCTCAGTCTTAATCGGTGTGTAAGTCACATTCTAACAACTCACACATTGCTATGACTGATACTGTACAAAACAGTGTGATAGTTTCCTAACTCACTAAACTACAGTATTACTGGTGTAACATTGTTTAGGATAAGACACATTTTAGAACCTAAAACTGAAGTCTAGAGACTAAAGATAAAGATGTTCTGAAGATATTGAGTGTTTTGTGCTTATTACTTCTCTTTGCAGGCTGCTGATGAACAAACAGGCCAGAAAATGAACGAAGTGCATCAGGAACCAGACCTGCTGGCCCTCAAGTTTCTTTATAGCAACACAGATGCACCCAAAGACACCACAGTAAGTCTGTTACGAACACAAAAAGACTATTTTTCCAAACTGCAGGGGTTTCTGTCAGTCGAAGGTCTTAGAAGTTCATATTTCAGTAATTTAATGTTATTCCCTGATTTTTGTTAATGGTCACATGCAAGTAAACACATACAATACATACATTTTAGTGTTTTATTTTGACTGATAGGCTGCACAGCAAAAACTATATTGTGATTATTTTGTCATGTATCATGACTACAATTTGAAAAAAGTCTTTTTGATTCTTTGTGCAGCCCAGATTTTTTATTTTTTTATTTTAATGTTAATTATTAACATAAGGAAATAGTTTAGAGTATCTAAAATGTAAGTCGAAAAATGTTGACTAAAATAGTCGTTTTTATTAATCTTCAGCATTCAAAACTGGATTTTTTGGGTCTGATGCTCACCTTCTGCTGTTGGGTGTAATGCATTACTAAGCAATTACTGAAATAAATTAATTATTAAGTAATTATATAAATCGCATGCAAAATAATTTTTTTGTTTACATAATATATGAGTGTGTACTGTGTTTGTTTATTATGTATATATAAATACACACACATTCAGTATATATTTTGAAAATATTTACATGTATATACATGTATATTATTATATTTTATATAAATATACTGAACGTATAAATATAACATATTTTTCTGAAATATATACATGAATGTGTGTGTATTTATATATACATAATAAATATACACAGGACACACATATATTATGTAAACAAAAACTTTTATTTTGGATGCGATTAATCGCGATTAATCATTTGACCGCACTAATTAAATATATATTATGTGTAATTCATATAATATATATATACAGTGGGTACGGAAAGTATTCAGACCCCCTTAAATTTTTCACTCTTTGTTATATTGCAGCCATTTGCTAAAATCATTTAAGTTAATTTTTTTTCCTCATTAATGTACACACAGCACCCCATATTGACAGAAAAACACAGAATTGTTGACATCTTTGCAGATTTATTAAAAAAGAAAAACTGAAAAATGCTCAGTATTTAGTAGAAGCACCCATTTGATCTAATACAGCCATGAGTCTTTTTGGGTGTGTGTACATTAATGAGGAAAAAAAATTAACTTAAATGATTTTAGCAAATGGCTGCAATATAACAAAGAGTGAAAAATTTAAGGGGGTCTGAATACTTTCCGTACCCACTGTATAATTCAATTTTAGCTTGAGAAAGTAAGGGATTTAATTAGTTACTTCTGCTGTGATTGCATTAAATACTGTATAGACTTTAGAACAATTCTATGTTAAACCTTCATGTAAATACTTTAGTCAGTTCTAGAATAATTTATGCACTTTTATATTATTGATCTGGAAGAATTAGAAGAGCAGTTTCATGTCTATCCTTGTTCTGCTCAACTGGTCGAGGTTAATATGGGATTTAGAAAGTAATTAGTAATAAGTAATGCAACACATTCTAAAGAGAGTAATTAGTACAGCAATCTAATTATTCTGTTGAAGGTGTAGTTAGTAGCTACTAATTACTTACTTTTTAAGAGTAACTTACTCAACACCTCCTGTTAGGCTTTTGTGGCCCCTGGCAGTATGAGGCCCCTAGAGGACAAACTGCTTACAACTGAACTGAAACGATTAGGATGGTCCCTTTGATGTTTTTTGTCAGGAGCCCGTCAGCAGCTCTTCTTCTGGCACAAGCATGACTCCGCTCCCGGCGTATCTCTCGGCGTTAGCTGCTAAACCGCGAGCTGCCCCGCGGGGCCCCGGCGCTATAGAGCAGATGAGAGCGGAGCTCCGAGAGCTACGAGATGACCTGGACACGCTGAAGACTCAGCACAAGTTTGTGTAACATCAATGCACGCTGTTTTGGGATTCTTATCCTTATTTTTCATAAATGCAACGTCACTGTGTTTCAGAAACGAGATCAAACTGCTCCTGAACGAACTGGATGAAGAAAAGAAGATGCGTTTGTCACTGCAAGTGAGTCAAGAGCCTCTAGATGTTAAACTATTTCATTCGTGAGCAGTGCTGGGGAAAGCTACTTTTAAAAGTAATGCATTACAATGTTGCGTTACTCCATATAAAAGTAACTAATTGTGTTACTTAGTTACTATTTATGGAAAGTAATGCGTTACGTTAGACTACTTTTTGTATTACCTGGGCTGGACTTGCTTATTTATCTTTTAATAACCAAAAACACAAAAGTTATTTAAGGTTTGGGTTACTGTAAAGGCATAAATAAATTAAATCAATTGGAAAACAAAGTAACTTGTGTCTTGCTTGTAATGTGTTGTTTAGTTTTGTACCATGAACACTCACTAGTGCTCTCTTTCTCTTCAGATTGAAGTGGAACGTCTTAAGAAGCACATGTCCAAGTGAGCCAGCTCTGATGAAGCCGTCAGACGTCACAGATACAGACACAGACACGGAGTCTCGGCCAAACTCAAGTGTGCAATGAAGAACTTACAAAGACTGAGGAAGAACTTTGTATCAGAACTCCGTGAACATATTACTGTATAAAACACGTTTTGGGTTTGAAACCATGCACGATGACTGGAAAGAGAGAGCAACCTATAGTTTCAATCACATGCATTGATTACTTAGACTAATTAACATCAGACCTTACTTTTAATTTCATCTTTATATATAACAGCCGTTTTCCATGTTGAGTGAAGGAGGATTCTAAAGCTCAAGGTCAGTTAGACTTCATCAAAAAAAAGAATATGTGTTAAACTGTAATTTATTTCTGTGATCAAAGCTGAATTTTCAGCAGTCTTCAATGTCACATGATCTTCAGAAGTCATTCTAATATGCTGATTTGCTGCTTTTCTTATTATTATCAGTATTGAAAACGGTTAATGTTTTTGTGGAAACTGTGATACATTTATTCAGGATTCTGATGAAGTTCAGAAGAACTTGCATTTTTAAAAAATAGATTTTTTTGTTACAATGCAAATGTATCAATTGAAAAAAAAGAAAAGTTACTGGACAACCAACTTTTCAATAGTAGCGTGTGATGAAATGTATTAACATTGCTATTATATTTATACATGTATGGTTATATCACAATTTCATTTTTATATGCAGTGAGCAGAAAGGCAAGAAGTGAGGCATAAGATGTAAAAAAAGTGTCCTGTAAGAAAAAAACTATACTTTAAAACAAAGAAAACTAAAGCAAGACCGTAAATATCACCGAGGCAAAAACAAGACAAATAAATATTTACAAAAATATTTATTTACATTACATAAAAACCACGAAGGTACAGCAACACTTTCTTTAAGAAAACCAAACAACAAGCTGTAAATCAGATTTCTGAAGGGACTCTGAAAGACAGCACTGACGCTGACCCGAGAGAAAAGGACAGCGGTGTCTGGATCAGAAGTTCGAGTCTTCACAGGGAATCGGTCTGAACGTCACCTCTTTATTTTCCTCCAGCAGAAGATCATAGCGACACAGAGGCCTGCTGAAACACAAGACAACGGTTTAGTGAATCTGAGTTTGAGTGACAAACCAGAAGAGATGTCGTGGCTGTCAGGTGTACGCTGGTCTTTGTCTCTATTCTGTTTAAGATGTGTACTGACAAGCATCAATTCAATCTTTATGTCTGAATAACCTCGGATTTAATTCACATCGGCAGTGAGTTTGAATCTAGCCTGCGACATTTCTCAATCCCATGTACAATGATGAATGTTTCAGCGAGCAAGAGCCATTTACAGTACTATTTAAAAGTCTGGGGTCAGTAAGATACTTTAATGTTTCGGAGAGAAGTCTCTTCTGCTCACCAAGGATCAAAAATACAGTAAAAATTGTGAAATATTATTAGAATGTAAAACAGCTGTTTTCTATGTGAATGTGTGTTAAACTGTAATTTATTTCTGTGATTAAAGCTGGATTTTCAGCATCTTCAGTGTCACATGATCTTCAGAAATCATTCTAATATGCTGATTTGCTGAACATTTCTGATTATTATCAATCTTGAAAACAGTCGTGCTGCACAATATTTTTGTGGAAACCGTGATGCATTTTAATTTCCAGGATTCACAGATGAACAGAAAGTTCAAAAGAGCAGCATTTATTTGAAATAGAAATCTACTGTAACATTCTAAATGTCTTTACTCTCATTTATGATCAATTTAATGCAGCCTTGATTAATAAAAAATGTAATTTATTTAAAAATAACAAACTTTTGAGTATGTTTGACATCAAACATGACACACCTTGAGACCTAATGCTTGAATTAAACGAAGCACAGATCACTGATTGACAGAGCTGCTATTGGGCTTGCTGTGAACAGTTCATGAAGAGCATGTATAAGAAGAGCTCAGACATGAACTCTTGCTTCAGATGAAAGCACACAGACCTGAGGTGGTTCTGTAGAGGAGTGAGGCGGATGCGCAGGAGCCGCAGCTTCTTGCTCGGCCGGAGTCCTTTCCCCGTACAGAACTTGAGCGAGATCTCTTTCACAGGCTGGACGTCTCGGTCAAACTGAGCCAGAACACTGCTCTCCACAAACCTCTCAAACATCAGGGATTTACTGGAAGAGAGAGGAGAAACATCAGCATCCAAAACATCGATCTGGGAATACTCCTTACACGAGAACGAGACTTACTGATTGAGCTCAACTTGCGCCTCCTCCTGTCCATCGCTTAATTTAATCGTTAAATATCCCCAGTGTGTTTTCTGGTTCCATGTGACAATATCAACCTTGTAGCCGAACTCTAGTGGAGTCAGAGATTACATAAACAAGCTGTTACATTATATATAAGTGACCCTGCAGCACAAAAGCAGTGTTAAGTCGCTGGGGTATATTTGTAGCAATAGCCAACAATACATTGTATGGGTCAAAATTATTGATTTTTTTTAATGCCAAAAATCATTAGGATATTAAGTAAAGATCATGTTCCATGAAGATATTTTGTAAATTTCCTACCGTAAATATATCAAAACTTAATTTTTGATCAGTAATATGCATTGCTAAGAACTTCATTTGAACAACTTTAAAGATGATTTTCTCAATATTTAGATTTTTTTGCACCCTCAGATTCCAGATTTTCAGATAGTTGTATCTCAGCCAAATATTGTCCTATCCTAACAAACCATACATCAACGGAAAGCTATTTATTCAGAAATTTTAAAAAATGTACCCTTATGACTGGTTTTGTGCTCCAGGGTCACATATGTATCTTAACCTGAAACTTAAATAATCTGCTCACAGTTGAAATGTAATACTCACTGCAGAATGGAGACGCTTTATTAGTTTGGAAATACGTCCTGGTTTGATTCAGCTGCAGCAGCCTGTCCTTCCAGCGCACAGCATCATAACCTGCACAGTGCAATGAAAGCAGGTCTGTCTCAGAACAGCCGACTGATCACATGAAGCTCAAGAGTGCACTCAGTTTACCGAAAACAGGGCATCCGTCCGGCGTGAACCTGCCACAGTCCATGCACTCCCCGTCCTGGAAGAGTGTGTAGGAGTCACAGGGGTACGCAGTGATGGGACACGAGCCGTTCAGGGAGCTCAAGTACAGAAACACTGACCTCTGATGGTCACACTTGAAATACTGCGAGCCTGTGGCGCATCAGAGAAGAGCTCAAAACTACAGACTTCTGCATATATACACATTACGATATAGCATGCATAGAGCAACTTATACAATATGAAATATGAAGAGAATGCAGAGCATCATGTTAGTCTGGGGCATGAAGATATTCTCTTTCTTTTTTCTTATGTTTCTTTAAGAGCGCGAGTAGCATCTTGCAAGTAATTATGATATAATTGCTTACACTTTTATATGCCTTGCAGTTGAAAATGTTGAGAGGTATGGTTAGAAAGCAAGTAAAAATTAAAATACTGAAAGATTTAAAATCAATCTTTATTTTTTATTTAATTTGACAAGCATTTTTAAGTTTAAAGAGTACAAAAATACACACTGCCATTCAAACGTTTATTACCAGTAAGATTTTTAATGTTTTAAAAAAATAAATAAATACAGAAAATTATTGTAAAATATTATTACAATTTAAAATAACAGTTTTTTGTTTTAATATACTTTAAATTATAATTTATATTTAACAATAATACAATACAGTTTAAAAGTTTGGGGTTAGTACTTTTTTTTTTTTAATGAATACTTATACTTCAGTAAAGACTAGTAAAGACTTACATTGCTACAAAAGATTTCTATTTGAAATAAATTGATAATAGAGAAATGTTTCTCAAGCAGCAAATCAGCATATTAGAATGATTTCTGAAGATCATGTGACACTGAAGACTGGAGGAATGATGCTGAAAATACAGCTGCGCATCACAGAAATACATTACAGTTTAACAGATATTCACATAGAAAACAGCTACTTTAAATTGTAAATAATATTTCACAATATTACGTTTTTTCCTGTATTTTTCATCAAATAAATGCAGCCTTGATGAGCAGAAGAAACGTCTGATGCCAAACTGAACAGCAGTGTGTGTGTGTTTTGTGTAATACTATTTTTAATTGAGGTTACATTAAAATGCTATTAAAATGGTTAAAGCTGACCTGAAAAGATGGTTCTGGGGCATCCAGGCTGATCCGCTCCACCGTTTGCGTAATAGTCGATGTGACCCAGGACATCACGATAGCCCAGCGCTGCAAGAAAACACCAGCCATGAGTTAACCACGTCTAGATATTCATGTTCTATATAGAGTGTCACATAGTCAAGAGCCCCGTCTCGTGACGTGTGAGAGAAACACACCGTCCATGTCTGTGTGCAGCGCCTCCACGAACTGGGCATCAGACGGGTCGAGACGCTCGCTCGGGGGCTGACCGTTAAACTCGGGCCCCGCCGGATCCAGCGCTGAGTGAGACACGCAAACATCACAATCACACACTGAAACACTCCACTCAGAGCTTCAGGAGAACGGATCAGTCTCACCTGTTATTCTGCCAATGCTTCCATTAAAATTGGCCCCAGTGAAACCTGAGATGTGGGCCCCTAAACTGACACCGATCATGTGTATGGAGCCGAGATCAGCCCCTTTCTCCTGTGATGTCAAAACACACACACACACACACACACACGTT